AAACTTAGATGTGAATGATAACAATATCTGATGACCAGTCTTTCCTTGCCAATGCAATGGGTAGAATAGATAATCACAGCAGTAAAGATTAGCAATTGCAGAATCAACAACCAGGTCAGGAATTTGGCAATATAAATGGAGAAAAAAGGCACAGAAATGAAAGTGTCAGGGCATTGAAATAGAACAAATAGGCAGAAAAAAATAATAGGAGAAATGCAGAGAAAGCAACAGAATTTAAGACAATGGAAGACATTTCCTAATATTTACTGTCATTTGGGTATAACTCTAATTCATTTATTGGTAGCAGTAGATCCTGTAAAATAGTTCCTTGTGTGTGTGTGTGTGTGATGTCGATGTTAGTGTGCAAGACCTTGTTCTTAAGTGATCCTAGAGTTGTTGTTTAAATGAGACTTCTTTTTTCCAATCTTCACTCCATTTCTCCATTTCTGTAATTTGGAGCAGGGAAGTTGAAGACCATTTTGTGATCAAAACAGTAAGGTAGTTTTAGTCATCTGGCTTCTCTTGAGGGGAGACAAATTTTCTTGCCATTTGTATTTCCATCTGGCATTTAGTAGTTACTGCAACCATCAGAAATGCTTTTATTGCCTTATTTCATCTAGGGAAGACTTCTATTATTTTCCATATAAAACATATTGATGCCATTTTCTATGAAGTGAATCCTAAATATATTTAACTAGACATTAAATTTAGATTTAACGGGGTAGTAACTGTCTCCTAAGTAAATATTCTGAGATAAGGATATATTTAGATAGATTTAGCAGTTATGTGGCAGATGCAACTCGCATAGTATGATTGTAAATCTCCGATAAATATGTTTTCTTTATGCACTGATATTTAATTAACATATAATAACTCTTATTAACTACAAATGAACAACTCATATGATTACATAGAATTAAGTATGCACTACTGCCTGGTAGAATTGGAAGCTTTAGATTACACTTAATGTATCACAAGCTTTGTTACAGCTTTGAGTTATTGCACAATATTGTCCTTGTCAAGGTCATTTTGGACAAGGGAGAAAAAGCTTCATTATTCAAAAGCATATCAGTGCAATGGAGTCTTGATATTGAGATTAAAATAATTAAGCTAATAACCATAAGTTCCAATTTCTAGCATTAGATCAGCCTCTCCAATTTTGATATTTTCCAGATCTTTCTAGATTTCATTTTCCCTAAGTTCCAGATAGAAAGAGTAGATGAGGTATCGTTAGTGTAAGATGCATGTATGTTAATTTGGAACTGTACACTAATCTTTTGACTGGATAATATGAAATAATTGTACATGAATAAAAATATGATTATTTAAGAGTTGATGTTATATTTATTATATTTAAAAGATTGTAGGTAGAACTGGTAGGTAGACCTGGTAGAATTGATAGCACCAGAAATAGTTAGTGGAGTTTTTGAGCAACATGTCTACAGTAAAACAATATGGTCAAATAAGTTTTGTTCTATGTATTCTATTTTTTAAAAAACCCTTTAAATTATGTTAGTGAGGAATTACCACTAATACATTCTAGTTTAGATTTTGATGGACATTTCATTTTAAAATTCAGAACCAAAAATAAGAAGTTTCCCTCCCTCGTTCTCTGACTCCACTCTTAACTGAGAACACAAATGAAGCTTCACAGGGTGATGTAATTTTAAAACTGCATGTAAAGATTCCTTCAACAAGGGTTGACTCTCTGTGATTCCTTAGGTTTACGTAATTCATGTAATTTTCTTGCCAGCAAGAAATATCTTTTTGAGTTTTTTTTGAACTTCACAGTCTAGTCTACAACTGTGGGATTTCCTGGCCCCAGCCAAATATTAATCCGGTTTAGCTGTGGTAGATTAGGTGTTGCCATCTGCCCTGGACAATTATTTAACCTGTGGCATTAAAAAGTATAAATAAATCTACATTTTGGTACTTGTATAATTACAAAACCTGCATACTTATAAAAAAATGAAAGTACTAGCTCCAGGTTCTTATTAAAAAAAAAACACCAAGCAGTTTAATGAAGGATATCTTCATACAAGAATAGGATACAGTCTACCCAGCTAAAGCATATGCATGAATATGGCAATGATCTTCTGGGCCACAGTAGTCTAAGTGTGCTTATTGATCTAGATGTGAGTGTGCATCATCATTCAGCACCAGCAACCACTGTGTGGGACTAAAGCTAAATAAATACTACTGCTTGCCCTGTTTTGTGTCTCCTACAATCTGGATTTAGCATAAAAACAGCCTTGTATATGAAGATCTTATTTTCACACTCACAGTCTTATTTTATAGCACACAGAAACAATCTCGTATTGTTTCCCATTTATAATTTTCCAGTGTTCACAGAATACTTGGTGATTCTTCAATGATCCCATTCTTGAGCACTGTTGAATGATAGCAACACATCACAATGCTGGGGAAAAATGGCACAGTGAATGTCAGTGCAGATTTGCTCACTGCAAAAGTAAAAGTAATTAGTGAGTATCTTCATAATATGGTAGCAGGAGTGAAGGAACAACAGTTCCTTTAGGCACTTGCCTACAAAAAAATACTTTTTGAATTTCTCCTTTTGTCCTTCAAAAGCAATCAGATGCTAGCATTGTCAACATGAACACTAAGCATATATTTCTCATATATATGAGCAATGGGAAAAGAAGATGACAGCACTAGTTAAACCACCATCCAAGGTAGTTAACATCCTTGTTTGTTTGTTTGTTTATCAAATATATATAGATGCCCATTTCATGAATGTGACTCTCTATGAAGTTCTTTTCTTGTGCATTGAGCCAAATGGTACATTAGCTACTTTCTTAATGCTTCATGGGTCAAGTTGGTGAAGCTGCTGAAATGAACTGGAGCTCAGCTGCCAATCCTGGCATTTGGGGAGGACAGATGCAGCATTCACATTCCAGGCAACTCAATACCACCATTGTCTCTGCTCCAATTAGACCCTCATACATCAAGGGCCCAGAAGAGAGATGGGGGAGGAATGGTTGGTCTGAGGTTCTGGTAGAGAATGTTTTATCTGGAGAAGAAAAATATGGGATAAAAGAGCAATATATGAGTTTGAAATGCCAATTATCCAGAAGAATGTTCCATTTTTCATCAAAGAAAAAAAAAAGACTGCTCTACTGATTTGGATGGAAAAGAAAGAGCTCTAAATTTTCCTTTTTCTTTTTCACTTTCTGCAACATTCGTTTTATTTTGTAGATCACATTTTATTCATTAAAATTAGTTATTGCAGTAGGGAAAAGAGCCTGTATGAATGCATGTATTTCAGAATCATTTTTATTAATTGGTCAATGTATTTCAGGCCAGAGCCACATTCATACAGAAAAAAAATTGTTAGAGACACATTGTCCATGGTGAGTAGAGTAGGCACTCAATTGGGAGCACAATATTCTTTCTTTCACTGCCTTCCTCTTTTATCTTCTCCTTAGTCTCACTCTTTTTAGTCAGCAGACAGTCAAGGAAAGAATCAATCACCTTTGTCAGTGGCCTATACTGACCATAGCAGGCTTTTGAAATGAGGGTGATAGCCATATAAATTAGGCTGAGGACTGTGGGTAATCCTAAAGTCAGAGATTGTTTGCCTCAGTTATATAACAGCCTTTTCTTAACTAATAAATATCAGAGCACTGTTGGTGAAGTCTGCATAAATTTAGGGCCAATAGACAGTAATCCTGTTCTGGACGTAATGTAAGATTTTTTTTAAAAAAAGAGGTGAAAATGGAAAGTTTAAGTTTTGAATTCAGATGTTACTTAGATTTTTAAAAAAAAACTTATGAAAAAAAAGTCTTATGAAATAATTCCCCCTTACAGGTAATGGATAATATAAGCTGATTTGTGCACAAAAATAAACTACTTGTGTTGATTAGCAAATTGGAGCCAAAAACTCATATGCCAAAAACTTTGTTAATAAGCATGGAAATAAATTGGAGAAATGAGGGTTATACCTTTATATCTAGGGTGCTGACCTCACTGTGTCCTTTTGACCTAATGTTGATTTCTAAATCCTTTGTAAGCCCCCAATTTAAATGCTGCTAAGAGTCACAAATATAGGACTCCACATAATATGGTCTGGCAAGTTACAGATAGCTGGGATCAGGCCAGCATGCTTGTGTCCTCCTCTCCTCTCTTAGAATGAACATCTAAACCCAACTTATATGAATATAATGCACACACCCAGCCATTTCGGCCTGTAGCAGCTCTTTCTCTCATTGCGAGCACTTGACTGGACTCTGTTCATCACACGTAGAAGCAGCCAGCTTGGCAAGCCTGCCACTGGAAGCCACACTTAACCTCATGATGCTTGCCAAGTTGTAGCTACTCCTACATTCAGCCAATGCCTCCCAGAAGTTCAGTTCTGCTGAGCAAGGAAACAGCTTTCAGAATTAAAGAAGTAAAAATCTAATAACAGTATGGCTACTAACACCGAATGAAATTTGACTGTTTGCTTCTTCATTCTCACTTACCCAATGTCACCTCACTCTTTTTATATACTCTCCTTTTCCCCTCCCTCCCTAATTCCTACAGTCTTTTGTTTTTCTCCCTTTCAGTCCCCCAACCCTTCCTTCTGCCACCCATCCCGTTTCTTTCCTTTTTTTAATTTCCTAACGGCCTACCAGCTCTCTTTCTAAAAAAAGAGGGGGGGCATGCTCCAGTGAAGCTGTTGTCGTGACAACCTAAAAGAGCATCGGCGGTTTGGCCGGGACAGGCTGACCAGGCAGCGGCTCCAGGGGAGAAAGGATGCGCGGCGCAGCTGGCCGAGTGGCTTTCTGGAGTGGGGAGGGGGGGACGAGCGCGTGGAAAGCGAGTTTCCACTGAGTCAGGCAACGAGGAGACCCTCTTCCTCTCCCCCCCCCCCCCGGCTCTCCCTCCACCGCTGAGCCGCTCGCCGCTCCCTCCTCCCTTCGCTCCGCCTGGGAAAGTGGGTTAGGGAGAGAGCTGAGCGCAGAGACTGCTGTGCCGCTCGCTCTAGCAAAAGCATCCACTCGTTGAAGGAGCAGGAGGAGGGGGGGAGGCAGGCAGGCAGGCGAAGTCGCAGCTTCTCGCCTTAGGGGGCTCGCCTGCCCTTTCGGAGCTCTTTTGGACGCCTTAATTTGTTTGCTTTCGTCTCTCCTCCCCCCCTTCGCTCCCCTCCCGTCGGGATCCCTACCCTCCTCTGGGTTTTGTTTTTAATGTGTGTGTGTAACCGCCTCCTTGCCTCTTTTCTTCGTCTCCATCCCTGTCCGGCTTGCCTGTGGGGGACTTAAAACAAGCCAAAAGAGCGCGCGCAAGAAACAACAAGACATTATCTCTTTCCAACCCCAAGGCATCGAAAGGGAGAGGGGTTGGGGGAGGAGAAGCCTAAAAAGAAGCCAGGACCAGGTCGGGAAGGAGGAACACCCCCCTCCCAACCAAGAAGCCGAGATAACTGATCAACTGGACAGACAGAGTTGTGCGTTTTTCGATCGCTGGCCGGATATTACTGTACCTCTCTCGCCTGCTGCCCTCTCTCTCCCTGTTCTCTTTTCCTGGGTTTAAGTCCACCATCCTCCAAGCACCGAGAGTGATTGAGAGAAAGAGCGCGGAGCGAGAGAGAGAGAAAAGTCCATCCTTTGCAACTCCAGCCATGGTGGGAAGGGCTCAGCCCGATCGGAGACAATTCCCGTTGGTCCTACTGAGACTGCTTTGCCTTCTCCCTACAGGGCTGCCGGTCCGCAGCGTGGATTATAACCGAGGCACTGACAACATCACGGTGAGGCAGGGAGACACAGCTATCCTCAGGTAGGGGGCGATCGGCCAACTTTTCTTACCGTCTTCTTGTCTCCCGCTTGAGAGTCCTGACCCGGGCTGCGAGTGGAGGGGTGGGAGGACGAGGGTGTGCTCCTGGTCGTGTGGATGTGACTAAGGTGTTCGTGTGAGATTGATTTTGACTAATCATGCCCGCTTGTTTCCCCAAGTAAAATTTCTCCATCCTGTTTCTCGGGTCATTGTACCCAATTCATCCTCCCCTTCCCTCAACCCTACATTTGTCAGAAGATTGAAAATATTTCCCAATGTATATTAACCATGTGGCTGTTGCTTATTAAAAAAAAAGAAATAAGAAATTTCTGCTAATATATGATGTTTGTTGTGGGATACATAGGATTTACGGCCAGTCTTCAAAAACTTGTCTTCTATAGCTCCTGAATGGTTATATAAAATATATCTCAATGTGCTTTGGATGGAGCTGTTTTTATTGGATCGTTTCTGTGGCTGGTCTTCCATGCACCTCTGTGTCGGTTTGTTACCTAGGCAAACGAAGGAGAAAATAAGTAGCCAGAAAGGAAATGTGCAAGTTGTCTTTCCCTTCCAGCCAACATTTAAATGGCATAAGAAAGCCCCAAGCATCCACCACATCATTTATTTATTTGAATTATATCCTGATTTTTGTTTTGTTTTGTACAACTCAAGTCAGTGTACATAATGCGAGAGGTCAGAGAAAAGAATCATTATGGAAGTAACCTGTTTTCTTCCCTCTCCATTATCACATTCCTCTAAAATTTAAGCACTACTTAAGAGAATTATTTGCTAGTTGTTCTGGCTCGTGTACAAATGGATTAAAACCCATTTAACAACATAATTCATTTATGATGTTTTATAAAAAAAAATCTTTGGACAGCTTAAGTGCAATGTTGCAATTTGGAATGTGCATGGTTTCTTGTCAGGTGATTCTGAGTTGCCTGTGTGGCTTGCTCTGTGGGTTTTCCTTGTTAAGCCTAGAAGGAGAGCTACAGTAAGTTCAGTGCATATGTGTGTGACTTGACTGGCTGGTGATGGGAAGCTGCATCTCGGTGTTTGTGCTGCCTGTTTAAATTGAGATTATATAAATCCTAGTCACTTTAAATCTTGAATTAAAACACCCTCTCATTCATATAAATAAACAAATCTTTACACTGCAATATGCTCTACTGTATTTAAACTTCCGTGTTACAGAAGCTATGCGTGCACCAGGATCTGCATTCTGCATATTGTGGCAGTAAAATTACTGGATGTGATTTAGAAGAGAGTAATTTATGCAAAGAACAGCTATTGCACAGCTGTCAAAGATCCAGGGAATAGTTCTTCAGCAAACATAGTGACAACACAAAGTTTTTACTCCATTTCTGTAGAATAAAACTTGATAGCTGACAGACCCTGCCTTTGAAGCTCAGCATTTTTTTCACCCACCTCTCTGCTTTGCCGCTAGAAGTGCATTTTTATTACATGCAGGGAAATAGTGTGTATTCCTTGTATTTTGATATTAGTGAGAGGGGGTTTAGAATGCAAAGCAGTAGTCTCCTATTCATTTCATGAGCTAAGAGTGTTCTGATGTTGGAATATACTGTCAGCAGCACCATTCCTCAGCTCTTCAGCCTTGTTAACTTGCATGTAAGATTTTCCACATGGAGTAATAGGATTTAGCAAGCAATTCATCTGACGTGCGTTCTGTGATAGAAAGCTTCTGAAACACCAAACCAGAGTGTTATCTGTGACTTTAGAGATCTCTTCCCCTCCCCCTCCCTCTCTCATGGCCCTTCCCTGTTGAGATTTAGTAATTAACCCTTTCAGGTAGGGTTTTTCCCCCCTGTTTTTCTAGTCTTTCATTTTAAAATGCATAGTGTAGATCTTCCCTTTTCCTAAGTAGCACAGAAGGGAGTATGTTCAGCTTCACTGTGTACATATGGCACTAGCTAAGTCGTTAAGCTCACTTACCCAGCTAGGGGTCATTGGATTTCTATTTCCCACTTAACCTTGCAGCTCTGAAGTTTATCTACAGATACAAGGTGCCCAGAATGCATTTGCTGCAAAGATGTATACAGCTTGCAGGATAGTGATGAAGAACAAACATGTACAGATTTTATTCCTTTTTTTAGAGTTTCCCAAATATGTGTGGGCAGTTAGTTTTAGTAAGCATTTAATTCTGGGGTCGGAGAGGGAGAGAGAGAGAGAGAGACAGGAGAGAGAGAGGGAGGGAGAGGGAGGGAGGGAGGGAGAGAGAGAGAGAAAGAAAGAAAGAAAGAAAGAAAGAAAGAAAGAAAGAAAGAAAGAAAGAAAGAAAG